CCAGTCTCAGCCCAGGGGCTGTGCTTTTCACCACCCCACCCCCCCAACCCTGCACTGGGCTATTTCCCCCCCGGCTTCTTGTTTCCATGCCCCCCAGGACCACCCAGCCCCCCAACCCCCATCCCACAAACCACTCCAGGTTCCACCGCTTTTATCAGCATTTGCCACTGCTGAAGCTGAGCAAGTAAGTCCCAGTGGGGGAAAGGCAGGAGGGATGGAGCTGTAGATTCACCAGGGGTCTAAAAATAATCTCTGGTCCCCACCCCAAGCCTCCTGTAGACCCCACAAGCCCATCTGAACTTAACAGACCCTCCCAGACCCCAGCAACACCCCATAGATTGCACCTGCTCCTCCATCCCCCCAATTGTTCCCATGGGTCATGCCTACCCCCCATCCCGCAGCATAACCCAAATTTCTACCCCCAGCCTGCTTGTCCCCCCAAGCTCCCCATTTAACCTCCTATTCTTACTTACCTGATATAAGGTGGCCATTTTGAACCAATTTAACCTCGCTGTGATGCCCCCAAATGCCTGTACTTAACCATATAGACCTCCCAAGGATAGCACTGTGAGCACTATCCACAATGAGGACAAAAACCTAGAGTTAAGCATACATTCTCATTGTGTACTGGAGAATAAATAGTTATGCAGGCATCTAGTGGTTAAAAGTCAGGGTAAAGGTACACAGTAGAGCTGGGGTGGGTTGGGATTCAACCCAGAGAGGATAGGCAAAGGCAGCAGAAGTTCCTTGTGCGGTCTCAGAAATGGAAACATTAAATGTTGGGTTAAATGACTGGTCCTCCCACCAGGAGCTACAAGAGAAGGTGCCAAATCAGTCCATCATGTTTCTATACTCTTTTGCACTCTTTGCCTTAACTCCTTGTCTACACTTGTTAGCTCCTGGTTTCAGGTGACTGTCCTATATCGTCTTCTAGCTGGACTTTCCATAGCCAGTAGCCTACATCTCAGCTTTCACCAATTGAACCCTGATTGTCCATAAAAACTCATAGCAGACTTTGACCTTGGTCAATGTTTTCATTTGTTAATATATTATTAAAAATTGCATGTAATGTCCTTGGTAGATATTACATTATAAACATTATAAACACATACGTTATTTGAGGTGGATTCTGAATGAGGGTCATAAGGTGTCTAGATGTAGAAATCCCTTGCATTTTAATAGATGTACAAATGGTTTTTTTAAAGATCTATATAAAAAAACAACCTTACACACAGGTTTTGTTGGTCAAAGGAAGCAAAAGAGGCAAAAAATGTAAGAAACATCATGCAAAAAATATGCTTTTTCAGCTGCATTTCAGTATGAACCTTAGGACATATTTACTTGCGTAACACCTTTCCTCAAAACTCAGATTTCCAAAACTGGACTTCATATCTTAAGCCAGGAAGCTGATTTTCTGCACTGTGATTGAAGCATATAATGGTCGCTTCTCTGCTAGTCCAGGAGCATAGGGCAGAGTGTAACCTTCAGGGTCACAGTTAGTTTTAACCTTGTTATGGCCACTGTGCTGTAGAACTGTTTCCATAGCTGCAAAAAGAGATTGAGTGATGCTGAAGAGTAGGTTTCCCCCCTTCTGCCTAAGGCCAGCATTTAACTGTGGTCCATGGTGTGGTAGTTAGAATTAGGGGGAAGGGAAATCTTCATTTGTCTTTCCTCACCAAAAAGTGTGTATTATTTAGGGGTGTGGTACGTGAGTAAACATGTTAGTGTGATTATGTTCTCTTTTACCATTAATGGCCTTTGAATTTGCCATTAAGGGCTTGAATTTTTTTGCTTTCTTTTCTGAGTAGGGAGTGATAAAGATGAGTCTGGGTGTTGGTGACTTCCCAGAAAATATTTACAGCTCAGTAGGTTCCTCCACAATAGCATCTTAGTATTGTCTGTAGAAGTGCTGAAAGAAGAATTTGTTGCATCTCATAACTTTGAAAATACAGTGGTCAGTCCTTATCTTAAGTATCCAGGCTCAGTTTGTTGTATACAGTGTTGGTAAAAGCAGCAGAAGTCTACAGTGAAAGTATGCAAAGTATATCTGATTTTGCAAACTATACAATAAAGTATCCCTGTGTAGCTCTATTTATGTTATACATTTTATAATATTGCTGTTTTAATATAAGGGCTCTATACAAATGTAGTCTGTCCCAAGGCATCAGTAGGTGTTTTTTCAGATATAAATCAAGATAACTAACCCCCCCACACACACACACACAGAAAAACCCTGATTAATAATCAAAATGATAATAATTGACAATGGCAAGTATGTGTTTGCAAGTTTTTGTTAAAATGGAGCTGCAGGATAAATAAACATTTCCTAAATTCTGTGTTATGGACAACATTTTCAGATGAGTGTAAATGCAACTATAAAAGTTAATGATTCGTCCCATTATGATAATGGTTTTCTCATTAAATTTACATGACATTTTTATTTTTTTATAAAGTAGGTAAGCAAAGCTTCAAATTAATCACTTGCTATGCTCAGGGATGATTGACCTTGATCAGTGAAGGAGACAAATATTCCCTTTTGATATTATTAAAGGCAAGAATAAATGTAGGGGGTATGGTATGGCATACAGGGTAGGAGGCTTTGGGACTTTTTGGTTTGGCTTTTTGGTTGGAGACATTTCTCTAGGGGTGAGGAAGACTGAAGCTGGAGATGTTTTTAATGCCTTCCAGACCTTCTCATTTGGTCAGTGGACAGACTTGCTTGCCAACTGGTAGATTCTGAAATGTTCCAGGTCACATTCTGCTGCATGCCAACATATGTAGTACTTAAACTGAGAGTTAGAAATCAAAGTTTAGGACACAGGAAGCTGAAGTTATGAAAGGGAAAGAGATATTTCCCTGACAAGTAAGATAGTAGAGACCCAGAATCATTCAGGAAGATGTTTGGCAATCCTTTTTCTATTGTGTCTAAAGTTACTAAAAGCAGCTTTGCAACCTAGATGATTAAAATTCTCATTTAACTTAGATCCATAGAAAAACTTAGATTGCACATCTATTACTATGCAAAAGACTATAATTAGAAAGTGTTCTGAAAGACAAGGAACTACAGTATTTGTTTATATTTCAAAATAAAAAATCATCTTACTTTAAGTGCCTAATATGATAAAAGCAGTTGCCTGTGTGAAATGTCATGCAAAGCATAATTAGATTAAATTATAAAGCTCATAATTTGAGGATCTTTTCATAGTGCTTTAACAGCTTTGCATAACACAATTAATGTCTCATTCATTTCTGGATTAATATATATTTTCTTGTTATCATAATATGTCACCGAATGCATTAACTCATCTTTTGAGAGAAAACCCTCACTTTTAATTACCCGGAGACATTAACAATTGATTTATATCTATATCTATATACATATATATGTATTTATTTTTTTAGGAAAAGGAGGATGACAAATCAGAAACATCCAGTGCTCAGCAACAGAAAAGTCCGCAAGGTCTGAGTGATACCGGGTATTCTTCTGATGGGATATCAAGTTCACTTGGTGAAATTCCAAGTCTTATCCCCAGTGATGAAAAGGATCTACTCAAAGAACCTTCTAAAAAAGATACTTTTCCACAAGAAAGTCCTCCAAGCCCCTCCGATCTAGCCAAATTGGAAAGTACTGTCCTGTCCATTTTGGAAGCCCAGGCAAGTACACTTTCTGAGGAAAAATCTGGAAAAACAGAAGACCTTTACGAGCTATATGGTGAACAGACAAAGGATCAATATAAAACAAAGCCTTTGCCAATCACACCAGAATCTTACAGTTCTGATGAGGAAGACCTAGCAGACATTCAAGAAGAAGATGAAGAAGCCATTGAAGAAGATGGCAAACAAAGTATACCTTTGCAGAAAGCAGAAAAGGTAGATGCAATAGATAATGCATTAACAAGAAGGCAACGCCATGATTCTGTAGAAGACAGCAGTGAAAGTGAAAACTCACCTGTCCCAAGGAGAAAAAGACAAACGAGTGTTGGCTCTTCAAGCAGTGATGAGTACAAACAAGAAGACAGTCAAGGATCAGGCGACGATGAAGACTTTATTCGAAAACAGATTATAGAGATGAGTGCTGATGAGGATGCCTCAGGTTCTGAAGATGAAGAATTTATTAGGAATCAGCTCAAAGAAATCAGTGGTAATGAAAGCCAAAAGAAAGAAGAAGTGAAAGGCAAAGTTAAAGGGACAGCAGGAAAACACAAAAGGCTAACTAGGAAAAGTAGCACAAGCTATGATGAGGATCCTGGAAGACGTCATTCATGGCATGATGACGATGATGAGACTTTTGATGAAAGCCCAGAACCAAAATACAGGGAAAGCAAAAGTCAGGACAGTGAAGAGCTTGCTTTAACTGGTGGAAGTGGAGGTGGTGCCTTACGCCGTTTCAAAACAATAGAACTGAATAGTACAATAACAAACAAATATTCTGATGCATCCGAACAACAGAAAGGTATTTTGTATTTTGAAGAGCCAGAATTAGAGATGGAGAGTCTTACAGATTCACCAGAAGATAGATCGAGGGGAGAAGGGTCTTCTAGTCTGCATGCCTCCAGTTTCACTCCAGGTACCTCTCCCACATCAGTGTCTTCTCTCGATGAGGACAGTGACAGCAGTCCCAGTCATAAAAAAGTGGGAGGAGAAAGCAAACAGCAGCGCAAAGCCAGACATAGGTCACATGGCCCTCTCCTTCCAACTATTGAAGACTCTTCAGAAGAGGAAGAGCTAAGAGAAGAGGAAGAGCTGTTAAAGGAACAAGAAAAACAGCGTGAATTAGAACAGCAGCAAAGAAAGAGTTCAAGCAAAAAATCTAAGAAAGACAAGGACGAATTAAGAGCTCAGAGAAGAAGGGAGCGTCCAAAGACTCCACCAAGTAATCTTTCTCCCATTGAGGATGCATCTCCAACAGAAGAGTTACGACAGGCAGCAGAAATGGAAGAGCTGCACCGATCTTCCTGTTCTGAATATTCACCAAGTATTGAATCAGATCCTGAAGGATTTGAAATCAGCCCAGAAAAAATAATAGAAGTGCAAAAGGTGTATAAGTTACCCACAGCTGTCTCTTTATACTCTCCAACAGAAGAACAACCAGTTAGGCTTTTAAAAGAAGAAGATAATCAAAAGACATTAAGAAGTGCTGAAGAGATGTATGAAGAAATGATGCACAAATCCCATAAATCCAAATCATTTCAAAGTACAAATGAAAAAGACGAAGTGTTTGAAAAAGAATCTTTATATGGTGGCATGCTAATAGAAGATTATATTTATGAATCTTTAGTAGAGGACACATATAATGGAACTATTGATGCTAATCTCATAACAAGACAAGATGAGAGTAATGAATTTATACAACAGAGAGGGAGGGAGAGAAAAATAAGATCTTCTGATCAGATTTATGAAGAGCCTATGCAGAAAATTAAGGATCTGCAGAAAGACTATTATAGTGTAGAGACTTTGCATTCAATTGTGCCACAGGAGGACATTGTATCTAGTTCTTACATCATTCCAGAAAGTCATGAAATAATTGTCCTGGACAGTGTGGTAACTTCTGCCACTGAGGAAAAGCAGTTGTTAGATGCAGAAGCAGCGTATGAAGAGCTTATGAAGCGACAAGGAATGCAGCTGACCCCAGGCTCCAGTCCAACTCAGCCAACATCAGATTTAATTCCTGGATCAGATACAATGGGATCTACAGTAAGAAATACAGTGGACGGTGCCTCATTAACATTAAGCACTCCTTCATCAGTTTCAGACATGTCTTCAGTCAGCAGCACAGTACTTTCTATTCCAGATGTTAAGATAACCCAGCACTTTACAGTAGAAAATATAGAAGATGAATACCTAACAGATTATGCCAGAGAAATTCAAGAAATAATATCTCATGAAACTTCAATATTAACATATTCTGAGGCTTCAGAAAGTGGTACATCTGTTTTGCCTTCTGATACAGCTTCCCTAACATCATCTACATCTTCAGTTTGTACCACTGATAGCTCATCACCCATTCCTGGGATAGACAGGACAGCCATAGGTTTTATAGATACAATGGAAGCTTTTAGTAAATTAGCAGATTCTGAAGGGATCAGCTCAATAACTCAAGTGCCCATCAGCTCCACAAAAGAGTATGCTGAAACAACCACACCTTATGAACCTATTGATGTACCCTCTCAAAAGCCAGTGGTACGTGCAGGTCATGTTGTGGATCATGTTGTAATTTCCTTGCCTACAGCTGCACCTTCTGCAGTGACAATAACAGATATAAAACTGAAGCAATACACTTCTGACTCCACCACCCTTGATTTATCCATACCACAGAAAGAAAGAGCTAGGGAAATTAAGAGCATAGAGAAGGGTGTTATTACTAAAGTACTTTATGAAGATGTGCCCAAAGGAGTGGGTATGGACATGACAAGGATTAACATGGCTGATGCTGCATCTGACCAACCACCTATATGTATAACATCAATTCCAGTAACACAGCCAGCACCAACCACACCTGTATCCACTACTAGTGTTGTAACTAAGATCAGCACTGTTTCTGCATTACCATCTGTGACTTCCTCAGCTCCCCCTGTGACATCCAAAATATGTTACTCACAAAGTATCTCACTTTTCAGAAGCTCTTCTTTAGATTCTTCTGAACAACCATTGCCACCACCTCTCCATCCTCCTCCTCCCCCTCCCCCTCCCCCTCCTCCACCATTGCCTCCACCTACTCCACCCAAACCAGCTATTTATCCCAAAAAGAAGACACAGGTTAAGTCTCCAGGGACAACAGCTCCAATAGTTCTACCTTCTATGGCTAGTGGTGCAACTGTAGAGGCCATGGGTTTGTTAAAGAACCATGTAGTACCTACTACAAAAATATATACCCCTACACCACCTCCTGTGCCTCCCAAGCCATCTTCAATTCCAGCAGGGCTGGTATTCAGTCATAGAGCAGTTGAGGTAACTAAGCCTCCAATTGCTCCTAAGCCAGCAGTTCCTCCTCTCCCAATAGTAGTTCATAAGCCAGCAGAAACACAGCCAAAGCCAATAGGCTTGTCATTAACCACTAGTATGACTTTGAATTTGGTTTCTTCAGCCGAGTGCAAGTTGACATCCCCTACATCCCCTTTATCTCCTCACTCTAACAAGTCTTCACCAAGGCTGACGAAATCCTTACAAGAAACCTATGTAGTTATCACGTTGCCATCTGAACCTGGAACTCCTACAGAGTCTGTAACTAGCCAGGCTGTCACCAGCTGGCCTTTAGGCTCACCTTCTAAAGACCAGGTTCCCCAGGCTGTGAGGCCTCAACTTATTCCATCCATAAAAGCTATGGAAATTCAAACTATGGCAGATCAGAATTTGTATGATTCTGGTGCTTTGCAAACTTTTCCTGTTACAGCACAGTCGACTTTTGAAACTGCCCCTAGTTCAGTAACAGAATTAATAACAACAGCAGTTACCAAGACCGCCGTTTCTGTGGTTAAAGGCTCAGTGCCGAGTGTTGGATTAGGCAGCGTCTCTATTACTATACCTCCAGAGCCAATGCACATGGTAGAGCAAACCAGGTATACAGAGAATGGAAGGTTCCATCCATTTGGTGATGTTATTGACCTTCGAACTTTAACAAAGATGGATATTGAAATGACAAACAGCTGTATGGATCTGTCTGCTGTTTCCATGGATGTGAGAAGGCAAGCAATAGCAAGTGATATATCTGGGCGGCCAGTAAGTGCTGTCCAGCCAGCTATCATAAATCTTAGCACTGCATCAACTGCAGAACCTTCTCTAGCTCTAGTCACTGAAACAGTAACTATAATGACTTGTACAGCTACTGTAAGCTACACTGCCAGTACAGAAAGCCTTGTGGATCTGGGACATGGAATGACAACACCATTGCAACTGACAACATCAAAGCATTTTGAGCCTGCACACAGAGTAACAGGCAGCCAGGCATTCTCTGTAGGTAGAGATGAAGTGCCAATAAACTTATCTTTAGGTACTTCAACACATGCAGTGACATGGGCTACAACAAAGCCTGTCACTGTCCCTCCTGTTGGTGTGACGAATGGTTGGACTGATGTCTCTGCTTCTCAGGAGCCAATGGAGGATGGAGCAGTTGATCTTAGCACCACAAAATCCCACAGAACAATGGTGACAGCAGATGAAGCTATGTCAGGGGTTATCACCACAGTAATAGAAGATGATGAAAAACCTGTTGATCTGACTGCAGGGAGAAGAGCTGTTTGCTGTGATATGGTTTATAAATTACCATTTGGCAGGAGCTGTACGGCACAACAGCCTCCAACCACACTGCCTGAAGATCGATTTGGTTACAGAGATGACCATTATCAGTATGATCGCTTGGGGTCGTATAGTTACAGAGCATTTGGGGGTATGAAACCATCCATGTCTGATACTAATTTATCAGAAGCTGGACTTTTTGCATATAAGAGCAAGAATAGCTTTGATTATCGAGTTGGGGCAACAGATGCAGCAGTAGATCTAACTTCTGGAAGAGTAACTACAGGTCAGTATGACACAGCAGCAGATCTTTCTTTGAAATATAATTATGGTGTTCCTCACCTCATTTCAGGATGATTTTTTTTTTAATTTTTCCCCTCCTTCTGTTGTTATGTTTTCTGTTGGACAATGTGACAAATTATTCTGGATTACACGTTTATTTCGTTTCTTCATTTTACATATGTGTTTTGCACAGAGGTGCCTGCATGTGCCTGCATGTTCAGAAATGCTGTTTTCTTCACGTCTAAAGTAGTTCAGTAACCTGAAGATTTGCATGCCGTTCCCCCTCCCCACTTAATTCAGCAAGATGGGATGGCTTTCAGAATCCACAAAGCAGCATTATTTTGGGGGACTGGACTATAACTGTGCCCTATAATTTCAGGTGAGGTTATGGATTACTCAAGCAAGACCACTGGTCCTTATCCAGAGACTCGACAAGTGATTTCTGGCATCGGGATTAGTGCACCACAATATTCCCAAGCAAGAATGGTACCTTCCCTGTATGGTGTTGGAAGTGTTTTAAGATCATCAAATGGTGTTGTTTATTCCTCGGTTGCAACTCCAATACCATCCACATTTGCCATAACTACACAGCCTGGTTCTATTTTCAGTACAACCGTCAGAGATTTATCTACTCTCCAGACAATTGACTCAGTGTCCTCACTATCATCCTTGCAACAGAATCAACCAGTTCCAAGATCATACAGTTTCTTGACAACAGTGGCAACTGAAAAAGACAGTGCAATTGTTGGCATTGATATTGACACAGGGTTGCAACCTCTCGCTATAGAAACTATTACTACCGAGACAACCAGCCTGATGCCTACTTTAACTACTGCTTCTGAAGGTTTTACAGATGTCATTGAAGATGAAGTTGCGCTTCTCGTTGCCCCTGAAGAAGATAAACAGCAGCAGCTTGACTTGGAGCGTGAACTTCTTGAACTGGAGAAACTTAAGCAGCAGCGCTTTGCAGAGGAATTAGAGTGGGAGCGTCAGGAAATTCAAAGGTTTAGAGAACAAGAAAAGTTTATGGTGCAAAAGAAGCTGGAGGAATTGCAGTCCATGAAGCACCATCTCTTATTCCAACAAGAGGAGGAGCGGCAAGCCCAGTTCATGATGAGACAGGAGACATTAGCTCAACAGCAGTTACAGCTTGAGCAAATCCAGCAACTTCAGCAACAGCTTCACCAGCAGCTGGAAGAGCAAAAGATTCGCCAGATATATCAATATAATTATGACCCTTCTGGAAATGTCTCCCCACAAACAACCACAGATCAAGTCCTTCTGGAAGGACAATATGCTGCTACAGAAAATGGCCAGTTTTGGACTAGTGATGACACGACCACAACAGCTTCAGCTGCGCTAGGCATTGAAATCCCACAAAGTCAGACATGGTACACAGTTCAGTCAGATGGCATTGCCCAATATATATCTAGGCCTGGTATGCTAAGCTCTGTTTCAGAAATGTCTCTAAAGGATATTGATGCAAGAGAGGAGAAACAACTGAAGAAGAGGAGCTCCATGCCAAAGTTACGTGGTCAGTATGATGAGCTTGATGAGACCCTAGAAGAAGATCCCAGGTGTTTTAAAAAGATCATGGACAGTGGAGTACAAACTGATGATGAAGATGGTGCAGACCGGGGCTACACAAACAGGAGAAGGAGGACAAAAAAGAGTGTTGATACAAGTGTTCAGACGGATGATGAAGATCAAGAAGAATGGGATCTTTCTAGCAGATCAAGACGGAAGGCTCGTGTGGGGAAATATAATGAGGGCACCCCTGAGGTAGACAAAAGCAAGCCATTTTCCAAAGTGTCTAGCATTGCGGTTCAGACAGTGGCAGAGATCTCAGTACAAACAGAACCTGTAGGGACAATACGAACCCCTTCAATAAGAGCCAGATTGGATGCTAAGGTTGAAATCATAAAACACATTTCAGCCCCAGAAAAGACATATACAGGAGAAAGTTTGGGGTGTCAAACAGAAACGGATTCAGATACACAAAGTCCCCAGTACTTGACAACCACATCTCCTCAGAAGGACAAAAAGCGCCCAACACCACTAGAAATAGGCTACTCATCTCACCTGCGTGCAGACTCTACACTGCAAGTAGTCCCTTCCCCTCCCAAGTCTCCCAAAGTTCTCTATTCACCCATTTCACCAGTTTCACCAAGCAAAGTTATAGAGTCAGCCTTTGTACCCTATGAAAAACCCATCACTGATGACGTCAGCTCTCAGAAGATACTGCATGCTGATATTGCCAACGTTCCTCCACCCAGCCCAAAGTCAGCGAAGATGATGCAGCGTTCACTATCTGATCCTAAGCCCCTGAGTCCCACAGCAGAAGACAGTTCCAGAGCTCAGTTTCAATACACTGAGGGTTTCATGGTAAGTATTGTTTTTTTCTATCTTGATATATCTCTTTTTTTCATGTGAAATTGTGCAGTTGGCTTTCTGTGCAGCACAGGGGATACCATGTTCATTAGAATTTCTGCATATAAACTGTTTACATACCAGGCTGAATAAGTGCCACGGATGGTCCCATGCCTGAGAGCAGATGCATGATCTATTACTTCATTCTTTAATTGTTTTAGTGCTCCCTTTGGAAAATAAAGGGAGACCAAAATTACTGTGCTAGTGAGATAAAACACGGACTGTTTTTAACTAAAACTAGGAAGGTGCTTGCAGTTTTGCATGGGAATTAATTGCTGATGCGATGGGTACTATCTTTTCTTCAGAGAACTAAATTTATCTTCATTCTAAATAAGGAACTTTTTTATTTCTTCACACACCTCCTGTACTATAACCTGAAATGCCTTAACACTAAAGTATCAAATTTATTTCCTCTCCAAAGTACTGTTAATTCCAGATTTATTTCTCATTGATTGAACTGCCCTTTTGTCCCACTGGACAGTGGATGCTGATTGTCTTTCTGAAAGTCTCAATTCTATATATACACTTCCCTCATTTCATGCTTGATTTATTTCTTCTTATCCTCAAGGTTTTATGTCTAATTCTCCTGATAGGTAAGGAGAATTAGGCAGGAGTCATCTACATCTAATGTTCTGTGTTGTAATTTTGGATAAATTTGACTTCTGAATGACATTGCATGGCCAAGATTTAAGTTTTCCAATTCTACAGCATTCTCTGGTAAACAAGCCAGCTAGCCTGTGAGTCATTTCATTGGCTAACACTCATCAGTCACTGCGTTCACCACTGCCCCATTTGTGTTTGTTCTTTCCCTTTGTCCATTCACACTCTGCTGTTTTGTTGTAATGTGTCAGTGGGGGTCCTCACTGTAGTCTCATTTGGCTTTCTGGGAGGTGTTTTTTGTGTTTGGGTGGGGATTTTTTTTTTCATTTACTTAGATTTGGGCAAGTGCTATGGTGCAGTTTAAGGTGGACTAATGAGAATTCTTCTCTCTTGTCTGATGGTTGTTTTTTTTTTTTTTTACCTTGAAACCATCCACACCAACTCTTCAAGCCTCAGGTTGCTTGTGGCTCCTGAGGACATCCACAGATTACACTTCTCATTCTACTCTCCGTACTTGGGAGAAAACCACTGGAAAAGGGGAAGGAAAACAGTGTGCTCATGACATAACCCTGTCTCCTGCTCTGTAATTTTGTCATCTCTTGATATAGCGCCAGAAATAGAAACAGAGAGTCGCATTCCTCACATAGGATGGGTTGACACCTCAAGGGAGAGTGCTTCTCTGATGCTAATGGAACTGGGCAACTTTGCACTGCTCTGTAGTCAGTCCTCTCTTTTAATTAAACTATAACCAGCTTCATCTAGCCCAAAACTGGCAGATGATTTTTTTTGCACGTGGGAGTTGTGCTGCTGCTGTGTTGTACTGGGGAGAATGGCTCTTCCTCCCCTTTGATCAGTGTAGTGTTCATTAACTCAGGCACAATTCTTTCTTCTGTTATGACAATAGACTCATAGACATAAATAGTCTAGAAGAGGACTAGAAGAAGATCATCTAGTCCAGCTCCTTTCAGTAAGATAAGATAAAATGTGCCTAAACTATCCCTGGTAGATATTTGTTCAGCCTGGCCAGGTACAGACATTATACTTGTACTGGTATAAGTGATCAAAAAGATTTGCCCCCCAGCTGCCAAAGGGCAAATATGGATTCTCTTCACTACCACTCTAAATGATGTCACTTACAGAGAAAACTGTGTAATTTAAATCAATTCTGTCTGTCTCAGGCTTACTGAACATTTGTACCCAGTCCCTGTTCTTAAATTCATTGCAAAAAAATATTTTGCAAGACCCTTACATAGATGGTTCCAATGTTTAACTCCCTTGTTTTTCTTAATATCTAATGGAAATCATCTTTGCAGCAAACAAAACTAATTTCTACTTGTCCTGCCCACAATTATCGAAAATAATTGATCAATCATTTACACAAGGGGTGGGCAAAATATGGCCTGCAGGCCAGATCTGACCTGTGAGGCCATTCTGTCTGGCCCATGGGGCCCCTAAAAATTTTTGAAAATTAAAATTTATCTGTCCTTGGTTCCTGTCAGAAATGACAAGAGCCAGGGGCAGTAGGACCCAGGAGAAGCCCGGCGGGCTCCCACAACAGCAGGGCACGCTGCAGCTGCTGCCACCGTGGCACAGCCCCGACGGGTGAACCCAGAACCAGTGCAGGGCCCAGGCTGGCTGTGGGGGTGGGTTACAAGCTGGTGTTGAGTGCGGGAGAAGCGGCCCCTTCCCTGCCCTATGCCTGGCGCTCCGCACTGCAGCTGCTTTCAGCCCGCCTGGAGCTGCCTATGCCTGCTCAGGACAGCTCGTGTGGGCTGTGAGTGGCTGCAGCAGGGAGCACTGGCCGTGGGGCAGGGGAAAGGCTGCTTTTCCCTGCAATCAGCACCAGCTTATTCGCTGCCACAGAGCAAGGGATCAGGGCTGCATGCTGCCCCCTACCTATACCGCGGGGCTGGAGTCACTGGGAGTAAGTGGGTGCATGGGGCCCACACCAGTGTCATGGGGCCAGCGCCAGTGGGTCCCAGAGTGGAGCATCAGGAGTATAAGGGTCCCAGCCAGCAGGGGCTTTATGGAGCCAAGCCAGCTCCCCCCTGTCCCTGCTGGTATAGCCTAACCTGGCTCCACAGACTCCTGCCAGCCTGTGCCCCGCTCTGGGCCCCACCAGCTCTGGCCCTGGGACATTGGTCCCAAAATGGTGGCCAGGGGGCAGGGCACCTGTCACGAGGCAGAGCTACCCATGTGGCCCTCGACAGCTTGCCAACACTGGGTAAGCAGCCCTCCACCCAAAATAATTGCCTGCCCCTGATTTACACGCTGAAAGATGCTCTTCATGCCTCTTTCATCTTTTCTTTTCTAGACTAAACAAACCCAGTTCCTTCAAACTTTTCTCGTAGATCATGTTTCTTAGAATTACCATTATCGTTATTGCTCTACTCTGGACTCTCTCCAATTTGGCTGCCTTTTCATTAAAATATGGTGCCCCAAGCTGGACATAGTAGTTTAGCTGAGGTTTCAACATTGCTGAGCAGAGCAAAATAAATATATCCTTTGTCTTATTATAATATTTTCTTGCATATAACATACTCTTTTTCCCTCCTAAGACAGACCTCCAAAACTGAGGTACATATATTAAGTGGGGAAGCTGATTTTCTGTGCCCAGGATAAAAGCACCCAGCTTTGATAGAAGCACCGTGTACCACAGTGCAGCAGTTGTGCTATTACTTTTCATGCAGCTGAGGGAATCAGTTGCTTTAATGGCTCATTGTTCTTCACTCCAGAGATGTTAAAAATCATCTTTCTTTGTTAATGTTCTTCAAGTTCTGCTAAACAAGTTAACCTTTCTTAGGGAATTTTTTTCTGTCTCCTAGCTGTTCCTGGTCTGTCTCCTTCTATTTCACAGCCCTCAAAACTCTTCAGCTCTTTCAAATCATAGATTTACTAATGGAAGCCAGTGTTCAGTGATAGCTAAGCTTTGCACTCTAGTTAAACTGCAAAGGGAGGATGAGTCTGCTGAAGATTAGGTTCTGCCCTTGCTCTACAGGGCCATAGCTTTGGAAACATCTTTTTTTCTTCCTTCCATCTTTCAAAAACAAGGTGCATATTATATTCCAGGGCATGTTGTACAGATGAAAATGTAGCATGTTAATACAGCCAAGAATAACCCTCCCTTTTTTGCAGCAGCATCACATTTCCTTAAGTCATACTTAGTGTGTACTCCTTGGAATTTCCAGATCTTTTTTGCCATAATGCTGCCTAGTCTGTTATTTCCAATTTTGCATATGCACATTTGATTTTTCCTTCCTAAGTGTAGCACATTACATTTGTCCTTAATTGCATCGTGTTGGGTCATCTCTCTATTTCGTCAAGATCATTTTGAATTCTGCTCTTGTCTTTAAAAGCGTTTGCAACTGTCCTACAACAGATGTCAGCAAACTTGATAAGCATACTCTCTAATTCCATCACCCACATCATTAAAGAAAATATTGAATAGAAATGGGCTCATGGGAACACCACTCAGAATGGTGTCAGAATTCTTGCTAAAGCCAAGATATATCAAGTCTGCCATTTCTCCATAATCTGTTAGGCCAGTTATCCTGTCAGGAAAGGAAATTAGGTTCATTTTACATGATCTGTTCATGAATAATCCATACCATTTGTGTTGTTTTTATTCTTTTCCTCTAAGTACTTACAAAAAGTAATTTTTTTTCACTCTTCACAAAAGGTTCTGGATAGTGCTCTTAATGGGAATGATTAGATAAAACACAAAAGGAATATTGAATACTACTGCTGTGGTCACAGAACTAGGTTCTCCTACTGTCACAGATATATTCAGCTAATAAAGTAAGCATAATTTGTAAAGGTGATTTGTAAGGATACAGTCTGTGGAAGCTAATATATATAACTAAAATAATGGATTTTTCCTGAAAAGACTGAATAGTAGAGTTTGGAAAAACACAAACAGGGACAGAGGCATGAAAACTAATGATTTGTATCTGGTTCTTTATAACTTTTTTTTAATGTATTACTCTATCACCTAAGGTCAAGCTGAGAGAGACCCTGTAGTAGCCAGTTAATGTCCTCAGATCTTTTACTCAAAATAAAGAAGACTGACATAGGTTGAAGGAAAAGATATAACATACGAGCAGAGCGAGCAATATAATAGTGGTTAACAAGTACTTACACCACATTTTGTATTTCTTTTTGCTAGGAAATCCTTTGGGTGGGGATATATTCATGAGGGTTAGGTAGATGGAAATGCGAAGGAAGAAAGAAAATTGGAAGGTCTGGAACAAACAGCCAATCAGTACAGATGAGAGACTGTCCAAAGTGAAACCTGTAGAAAGCAGTGTAATGGTATCTTCTGTACCATCTGCATCAGTTTCATTTTCTTTCCTCGG